TATTTATCAGATTTTCTGGTCACTTTAGTCTTTATGTTTGTCAGTATTTACTGACGTCACTCAGGCCACTTAAGTTGATTTCTTTTTTTTTAAATTTCTTTTTTAAAAAACTTTCAGTTGTGGTAAAAAAAAAAAAAAAGGTGGTTGAATAAAGGTTGGAATTTGAATTCAGTGCTTGTGTTCTTTTTTTAAAGTAGGTCATTAAGCAATAGCATAAAACATCCAGGGCTGCAATTAAAATATATGTTAAATAATTATAATAATTATATCGATAATAATCGATATCGATCAATATGATTTATTTTTTATCGATATGCTTTTTTTCTATATCGTCCAGGCCTACTCCAGATGAGGTCAGGACTGTATAATGTGTCAAATATGGCGATTTTCCACCTAACGAACCACACGTTTTGACTGATTACTCAAAAAGTGATGGAATGCCCATCCTGAAACTTGCAGGGATGCTAGTGGACATGATCGTCTTTCTTTAGTGTGAATATGAAGAAAATTGAAGGACGCATGTTTTTTGCTATTTCCAATTTAAGGTTTTGGTCTTTTATAATTTTTTTTTTACACCTCTGTTAACATCAGCATAAAGAGTCATTATTGACATGATTTCAACCCGTTTGACCCTGAATTCAAATCATCACCGACCTTCAGGAGGACTTGGAGACTCCTGGTTAAGAACTCAGCAGGATCCGCTCGTTAACTTTAATTAGATGATACGTGAGAGGTTCAGATTAATGAATGAACGAATCAACCCTTAATCAATCACTTATCAATCACTGACGGCGCTCCTTTGCAGCTTATTAACATGTATTGATGAACATCTATAAATGGATTATTGACTGTTGAACCTCAGTTTGGAGCCTCACATACGAGATGTTCCCAAAAAGTCGTTTTATCATTTAAAGAAGATCTCCAGAGTGCGCCGGTTTCTCTCTCTCGAGCCGACGCAGAGACTCTTCTTCATGTAGAATCCACTATCTCCATGCTCTCCTCTCTGGTCTTCATAAAAACATCTCACAGCTTCAGCTCCAACAAAGTTCAGCTGCACACATGCTGACGAATGTCAGTTTTGGTTTGTTGGCTTGTAGAGGTTGAAGATGAGATTGTTTTGTTTCACCTGGAGATAAAGAGCAAATGTCTTCAACAGCACTGTGGGAAAGGGGCAGGATTAAAAAGAAGAATATCTCAACTCTCAGCCACTGAATCTACACAAAAACTGTAGGACCCTATGTGAAACTGAGCCTTCTGTATGGTTCAAAGTTTGCATAGTTAAAGCTTGGCATGACTTTACGTGCCACAGACACTGCTGTCAAAATTAAATAATATCAAAAGCTGTGATCATAGTTAACATTTAATCACTTCGGAGAACAACTTGTAGTCAAATGTGTGGACAAGTTTCAACATCAGATTTGTCATTTTTGCGCTGCTTCTATTAAAATATAGGGTTAAAATGATGTTATTTTTTAAATCAACATTTTACACAGTCTCCCACATTTTTTGAAATTGGAAATGTAAATGTAATAGTTGCAGTGACGTGTGGTGAGGTTCATAGCTGGTGAGGCACTGACGTCATCAGAATCAGATTTGCAAATAGATGCATAGATTGACAGCAGTTTACAGGTTATGTTTCACTTCTGCATCCTTACACATACAAACTGTAGCTCACAAAACACACATTTCCTTAAAAAACAAAACAAAATAAATGTTATTACTGTCTTACCTTTACGTATAAATGAAGTCCATGCGTCGCTCCTTCTGCACAAAAACATCCGTCACTTTGCGATAGAAGTCCTCCTTATCTTCCTTCAGTTTTAAAAGTCTCTCTGTCTCAATGGAGATCACTGCCAGGGAAGAAAGCCTTCCTTGATCCGTCCTGTTCCTGCTGTATGTTTTCAGTCTCTTCAGGGCTGAGAATGACCGCTCCACTGACGCTGTAGTAGCTGGCACCGTGAGCACGAGCTGGAGCAACTTTGTCGCCTCAGGAACAGTTACAACAAGATCCTTCTCGGCCAAAAAGTTGAGAAGCTGTCCAGGAGATTTGCATTCATCCCTCACCGTTTTTGAGCTATACAGTCCAATGAGATCGGCCTTCAGTCTGACAAAGTCAAAAAACTTGGCATACTTTGACAGGCTCTGCAGTTTCGTGTCATCAAAATGTTGTGACATTTCATAGAACTTTGCGCAATCCACCAAACCGAGGAAAGCAAGTTCATCAAAATGGCCAAACCTAGCCTTCATTTGATCGCTGATGTTGTCAAGAATGTTACAGAACAGGTGTCTCCGTTCATCTCTAGCCGAATGTCTGTCTGTACCATCTGTCAAACCAAGTGCGCCGCATTTCTGCTCGAATCGGAGGTAGTAACTGTCAAACTCCAGTCTCATGCGCTCCATGACTGAAACTGTGTCCCGGATGCGCGCAACACAGTATTCAATGTCCGTCACTTTGTTTTGCAGCACTCTGAAAAGTGCGTCGGTCTCATTGAAAATGCCATCAAATGTATCGATAAGAAAGTATGTAGATGCTTTTGACAGCCACCGATCATATCCTGCTGCCATCATCAGCGTGTCATTATCCCAGCTATCGGGATTTTCCATAATGACATTGAACACAGCACGCAGATCGTTTTGGTGCATGCTTATTGTCTGCAGCAGCCGAGAATTTGAATTCCACCTTGTCGGCGCTGCTCTGGGTAAACGGCGCTTGACAACATCATCCAACAAACGAGTGCGCTTTGTGGACTTGCTGAAAAACGCCCCGAGTCCCTCAGCTGTTTTAAAAAACGCACGACACTTGGGCATGCACTTTGCTGAATGCAATAGCACCAGGTTCAGCTTGTGTGCGTAACAGTGTGTAAACATGGCCTCAGGCACCTTTTCCTTAATTTTAGCCTGCACCCCATTAAGCTCTGATGCCATTACAGCTGCCCCATCATATGTCTGAGCTACAAGCTTATCAACACAGCCGTATTTCTCCAGCACACTCAGGACATACTCAGCTATGGCAGGTGCACGTCTGTCCGCACTCACATCATCGAACCCCAAAAACGCCTCCTTCACCTTACAGCCTGCTTCAGGTCGAGTCACATAGCGCAATATGACGGAGATCTGAGCTTTGCTTGTGACATCTGTGGTCTCGTCGACTTCTACAGCTACAAATGGGGCTGCACTTATGTCCTGCTTAATATCATTTCTAATGACATCGCCGACTGCTTCAATTAATTCATTCTGTATTCTATTGGACAAGCCGGAAAATACAGTGGATGTCTCCAAATGTCTAGCTAGTCTGTCATCTTTCTCAGCAAGGACATGCAAGAGTTCAACATAGTTGCCACGATTAGCAGAGCCCATGCTCTCATCATTTCCACGAAATGCTAGCTGCTGTCTAGCGAGAAAGCAGGTCGCATTGATGAGATCTTTTAAAATCTCTCGGTTCTCCTTTACCTTAGCATTGTGGATGCTGATGTTGAGTCTCCGCTGTTCATCCAAAGCCAAATCTATCCTGGACAGGCCGAAGGTTTTTAGCGCAATTTGGCTTTGAATATGAGTGGTGGACCGCTCATATTTGGTGAGGGATCTTTGCAAGTTCTTCAAGTCACCAAATCCCATCTGAGTCCACACAGTGCCACAAGTTGAAAAAAGAAGGCAAGGAAAGCAGAAAAGGCGGTTTCGAGCAGGACATCCACAAAGCCAGTCTTTTCGTGAATACCACTCGGTTTGAAAAGAGCGGTTAACCTTCTGTCCCGTAGTCTGAAACAAACCTTTCAGCTCCGGCGTTGGTCTTCCTTTGGTTATTATCTCCTGCTTCGATTGAAAGTCCACTTGAGAAAACTTTTTTAGTGTTGTAATGTAGTCATCCATGTCGAAAGTCGGGATAAGCGAGAGGAAAAAAATCACTCTCTATTATAATCTATCGCTGCACTTGACTTGCTTCCCGAATCGTTTAGCCTAGCTCGCTGTCACTTACTCGGCAGTTGAGGAGTGAACAAGACGAACGTCTGGGATCTTGAGCACCCCCTGCCATGAGGCAAGAGAACTGCCTGCCTCACCTCGAACCTGTTCTCTGCCGTTTATAATCGCTCATTACACGAAACACGTTACACAAACACAGTTGGTGACAAAAAGCACTGTACATTATATACATAAGCTAAATTATTGGAAATAAGTTCACATATTAAATTTGTTTAAACCATTTTATTGACGCCGTACAGCAACATGCTCTCTCCGCTTAGCAGCCAGTGCAGAGCCAGGGGTTGCGCAATCCAAGGTGAGGCAGAGCTCGCTGCTGCCTCACCGGCATCGCTTCCAAGCATTTGAATGGGAAAATAAGAAAATTCAGCGATTTTGAACAAATAAAAATCGAAATTGGTGAAGCTACATGAAAAATAAATATTTTTTAGTACAAACCACCGGATGAATATAACAATTTAAATTACTTTATGATTATATATTTTCTTTCTTTCCATGATGGCTGGTGAGGCACTGCCTCACCTGCCTCCCCTGACCGCACGTCACTGAATAGTTGTGTCACTTAATGTCATGCAAAATATAAAAATATGAAACTATATGGGGAAAAAAAAAACGATTCCCTGTCATTATTGAGCAGTTTTTTTGTTTGTTTTTTTATTTATCTATTTATTTATTGTGACAGTTTGTTAAATAAAGGACCTATTTTAAGTTTTAGGGTGTGGCAGAATTTAGTTGTGATCTGTTGCCATAGCAACGTGGAATTCCAGGAGGAAGCCTCAGCCAGCCCTGCAGTGACATCAGCTATGACATCACAGTGATGACATCAGAGCTATGAAAAGCTTTGATGTCTTCACAGTGATGTCATCAAAGCTTTGAGGACTTGAGGTCGAAGGCGTTCAAAGGCAGCATGAGAGCGAGTGTTTAACTGCACCGAAGTGAAGAAAGACCAAATTGGACTTTGTTTTAAGATCATCGCTTAAAGAGACGCAATCATTTTAAAACAGCTAACAAACACAAACGCAGGTATGAGTCTCATCAGCACACCAGAGAGGATGGAACTGAATTTTTATCTGGCCTCCAAAGAGACTCTTAGGCCAGTCGTCCGTGCGTTCATGAACCAGCTGACGGCAGAAAACTGGCAGAGACTGGAGACTGGGCGTCTTGACCCAGAGACAAGTACTCGCGTGACAGCTTTGTGTGTAAATGTTATTGAAATTTTGGCTCAAAGTCTGCATGAGTCTCTCAACAGAAGACTTGAAAAACAGAAAGACTGGTCACCAGGATCTGCTAAATCTGTGTGTAAGGAGGACGTGCGCGAATGTTTAGGGAACATGGGTGAAGTCATCGCACAGACTGTGGCAGAGGTACAGGGTGTAGGAGACATCCACTACCCTAAGAGCGGGCGGGTGACAGAGCTCATGGTCACAGCAGTCACAGAGAGAGTCAACTCCAGGCTGTCTAAAACAAGTGACAGTGACGACTCGGAGGAGCACAAGACTTCCCCCACTATTCTAATCAAACTGAGGGGACACTTCAAGAGGATTCTCAAAAACTGCTACGAAAGGATGAAGACAATGTTGCACCGAGTCAAATCAACCTGCACTGTGCAGGAGAAGGAAGAGGTGGTGGTACCCACTCAGACCTCTGTAACTTCTCTGCAAGAAGAGAAACCAGGCAGGGCCGAGTCTACGGTCAACAAATCCCCGACTATTTTTCATGTGACCAAAGAAATCCTGGAGCAACAACTGGAAGAGATTGTTCATGATGCTCAGAGTTACTCCACAGAGGAAGAAGATAGCCTGCTTCTTTCTCAAACCAGCAAGGACTACGAGTTATCAGAGTTATCATCTCAGATTGTTGAAAATTTTACAGAGGATGTTCCACAGGACCTGGCTGGATGTCACACAGAAGATCTCTTAGGATACCGCAGGAGAAAAGTCATCAGGCAGATGAGGACTGTCTTTGTCCAAACATTTGCTCGAGGGTCAATCCTGAGCATGATGTCTAAATTCAGACGCAAGCCGGCCTCCCGTAAAGAACAGGAAGCTGTGAAATTAGTCAATTCACAGCTGATTAAGAGTGTGGATGATCTTTTAACAGAGTTCATTACAACAAACAATCAGGTACCAAGTCGTGGGTCATTAGAGGATTGCCCCTTTGAGAAATTAGCCAGCATCTTTTCCGGTGACGAGCTGGAAAGTTTTGCTGAAAAGCTGAGAGACACATTGGCCAGTCACTTGACACCACCAAAAGTCCAAGAAAAAACACACCGAGAAGAGATTCGTGCTGGAGTAGACAAGATCCTTAAAGAGACGAGGAAGTGGCTAAAGAAGCAGAGCCGACTGCGCAAGATTAGGAAGGACTGTGTGAGCATGACTCTCAAGAAGTTCAGGAGATTTGTGCAGAATAACCAGTCAGATCTCAGTCCCCCCAAAACTGGAGCTGAGGATCAGACCTGCCCCACACCTGTGCGAGAGGAGGTTCAAAGCTTCACAGCTGAGAAGGAAGAAGAAGAGGCCTGCTCAGATGAGGAGGAGGAAGAAGAGGCCTGCTCAGATGAGGAGGAGGAAGAAGAGGCCTGCTCAGATGAGGAGGAGAAGGAAGAGGTCTGCTCAGATGAGGAGGAGAAGGAAGAGGTCTACACAGCTGAGGAGGAGGAAGAAGAGGTCTACACAGCTGAGGAGGAGAAGGAAGAGGTCTACACAGCTGAGGAGCAAGTAGAACAGGCTCAGGTGGCAAAACCATCTGGTGAAAACACTGAATCTGTTCTGTGGGACCCACTGATTTGCCAAATCATTGTGAAGATGTTCTTACGCAAAGTCATGAAAAATTTCTTCCCCGATCAGACCTACAAATCAGCTGAAGCCAGACTGACAGACATGCTGTATGAAAAGATGAGTGGTACTTCTGTTAATGTGGATTTGAGCCTGAAAAGCATCAAAAAGAAATGCAAAGCTGTGTACAAAGAAGTGCTCAAAAATGTTGATGCTTCAGTTCTTTGGTTAAATCTCTTGGAAGAGGATCAACCACTCCTTGAGGCTGTGGCTGAGGCTCTAATGAAGCATTTTTCATCAGAAAGACCCAGCTCCATCCAAAAGTTCTTCAGATGTCTTCTCCGGACTTTCACTTCAGCTTGGACCCCCTGGGCTTCCCGCCTAACTGCAGCTTGTCGCGCATGAAGTCCTAGATGGATATGAGGACAGACTTCAGGCCCATACATGGCCACCAGCGAATGGGTTTACTCCGAGTGCTTCGGTTTCTCCCAACACAAGACTAAAAACCTTGAAAAAAAATAAAATAAAATAAAATAGCAGAGTGGCGCAGTGGAAGCGTGCTGGGCCTAAAACCCAGAGGTCGATGGATCGAAACCATCCTCTGCTAACCATGCTGGAAATGTGCAGCTGCTCCGTTCATGTCTCCCACAGGTGACGTTTCTTCTTCATCAGAATTGGCCATTTTTAATCAAAAGATAATGACACAAAAATCATTGGGACATACCTGCATGTCCTGGATCCTAGGGTTGACAAATAACTTAAGGATCCAGGACATGCAGGTATGTCCAAATGATTCTCCCATGAAGCTAAGATCATATTCTGGATGTAGGTGCAAACAGAAATGAAATGTGATGGAAAACTGAGCACAAATAAGCTATTCTAGCCATTTTTCATATCAATATGGGATAACATACAAATGAAAACACTCAAAAAAAGCATTTTGCACTATGAGGAAGTAATATTTTACACAGGCAGGCAAGTGGGGCTGACTCCAGATGAGGTCAGGACTGTATAATGTGTCAAATATGGCGATTTTCCACCTAACGAACCACACGTTTTGACTGATTACTCAAAAAGTGATGGAATGCCCATCCTGAAACTTGCAGGGATGCTAGTGGACATGAACCTCTTTCTTTAGTGTGAATATGAAGAAAATTGAAGGACGCATGTTTTTTGCTATTTCCAATTTAAGGTTTTGGTCTTTTATAATTTTTTTTTCACACCTCTGTTAACATCAGCATAAAGAGTCATTATTGACATGATTTCAACCCGTTTGACCCTGAATTCAAATCATCACCGACCTTCAGGAGGACTTGGAGACTCCTGGTTAAGAACTCAGCAGGATCCGCTCGTTAACTTTAATTAGATGATACGTGAGAGGTTCAGATTAATGAATGAACGAATTAACCCTTAATCAATCACTTATCAATCACTGACGGCGCTCCTTTGCAGCTTATTAACACGTATTGATGAACATCTATAAATGGATTATTGACTGTTGAACCTCAGTTTGGAGCCTCACATACGAGATGTTCCCAAAAAGTCGTTTGATCATTTAAAGAAGATCTCCAGAGTGCGCCGGTTTCTCTCTCTGGAGCCGACGCAGAGACTCTTCTTCATGTAGAATCCACTATCTCCATGCTCTCCTCTCTGGTCTTCATAAAAACATCTCACAGCTTCAGCTCCAACAAAGTTCAGCTGCACACATGCTGACGAATGTCAGTTTTGGTTTGTTGGCTTGTAGAGGTTGAAGATGAGATTGTTTTGTTTCACCTGGAGATAAAGAGCAAATGTCTTCAACAGCACTGTGGGAAAGGGGCAGGATTAAAAAGAAGAATATCTCAACTCTCAGCCACTGAATCTACACAAAAACTGTAGGACCCTATGTGAAACTGAGCCTTCTGTATGGTTCAAAGTTTGCATAGTTAAAGCTTGGCATGACTTTACGTGCCACAGACACTGCTGTCAAAATTAAATAATATCAAAAGCTGTGATCATAGTTAACATTTAATCACTTCGGAGAACAACTTGTAGTCAAATGTGTGGACAAGTTTCAACATCAGATTTGTCATTTTTGCGCTGCTTCTATTAAAATATAGGGTTAAAATGATGTTATTTTTTAAATCAACATTTTACAGTCTCCCACATTTTTTGAAATTGGAAATGTAAATGTAATAGTTGTGTCACTTAATGTCATGCAAAATATAAAAATATGAAACTATATGGGGAAAAAAAAAAACGATTCCCTGTCATTATTGAGCAGTTTTTTTGTTTGTTTTTTTATTTATCTATTTATTTATTGTGACAGTTTGTTAAATAAAGGACCTATTTTAAGTTTTAGGGTGTGGCAGAATTTAGTTGTGATCCGTTGCCATAGCAACGGGGAATTCCAGGAGGAAGCCTCAGTGACATCAGCTATGACATCACAGTGATGACATCAGAGCTATGAAAAGCTTTGATGTCATCACAGTGATGTCATCATAGCTTTGAGGACTTGAGGTCGAAGGCATTCAAAGGCAGCATGAGAGCGAGTGTTTAACTGCACCGAGGTGAAGAAAGACCAGATTGGACTTTGCTTTAAGATCATCGCTTAAAGAGACGCAATCATTTTAAAACAGCTAACAAACACAAACGCAGGTATGAGTCTCATCAGCACACCAGAGAGGATGGAACTGAATTTTTATCTGGCCTCCAAAGAGACTCTTAGGCCAGTCGTCCGTGCGTTCATGAACCAGCTGACGGCAGAAAACTGGCAGAGACTGGAGACTGGGCGTCTTGACCCAGAGACAAGTACTCGCGTGACAGCTTTGTGTGTAAATGTTATTGAAATTTTGGCTCAAAGTCTGCACGAGTCTCTCAACAGAAGACTTGAAAAACAGAAAGACTGGTCACCAGGATCTGCTAAATCTGTGTGTAAGGAGGACGTGCGCGAATGTTTAGGGAACATGGGTGAAGTCATCGCACAGACTGTGGCAGAGGTACAGGGTGTAGGAGACATCCACTACCCTAAGAGCGGGCGGGTGACAGAGCTCATGGTCACAGCAGTCACAGAGAGAGTCAACTCCAGGCTGTCTAAAACAAGTGACAGTGACGACTCGGAGGAGCACAAGACTTCCCCCACTATTCTAATCAAACTGAGGGGACACTTCAAGAGGATTCTCAAAAACTGCTACGAAAGGATGAAGACAATGTTGCACCGAGTCAAATCAACCTGCACTGTGCAGGAGAAGGAAGAGGTGGTGGTACCCACTCAGACCTCTGTAACTTCTCTGCAAGAAGAGAAACCAGGCAGGGCCGAGTCTACGGTCAACAAATCCCCGACTATTTTTCATGTGACCAAAGAAATCCTGGAGCAACAACTGGAAGAGATTGTTCATGATGCTCAGAGTTTACTCCACAGAGGAAGAAGATAGCCTGCTTCTTTCTCAAACCAGCAAGGACTACGAGTTATCAGAGTTATCATCTCAGATTGTTGAAAATTTTACAGAGGATGTTCCACAGGACCTGGCTGGATGTCACACAGAAGATCTCTTAGGATACCGCAGGAGAAAAGTCATCAGGCAGATGAGGACTGTCTTTGTCCAAACATTTGCTCGAGGGTCAATCCTGAGCATGATGTCTAAATTCAGACGCAAGCCGGCCTCCCGTAAAGAACAGGAAGCTGTGAAATTAGTCAATTCACAGCTGATTAAGAGTGTGGATGATCTTTTAACAGAGTTCATTACAACAAACAATCAGGTACCAAGTCGTGGGTCATTAGAGGATTGCCCCTTTGAGAAATTAGCCAGCATCTTTTCCGGTGACGAGCTGGAAAGTTTTGCTGAAAAGCTGAGTGACACATTGGCCAGTCACTTGACACCACCAAAAGTCCAAGAAAAAACACACCGAGAAGAGATTCGTGCTGGAGTAGACAAGATCCTTAAAGAGACGAGGAAGTGGCTAAAGAAGCAGAGCCGACTGCGCAAGATTTGGAAGGACTGTGTGAGCATGACTCTCAAGAAGTTCAGGAGATTTGTGCAGAATAACCAGTCAGATCTCAGTCCCCCCGAAACTGGAGCTGAGGATCAGACCTGCCCCACACCTGTGCGAGAGGAGGTTCAAAGCTTCACAGCTGAGAAGGAAAAGGAAGAGGCCTGCTCAGATGAGGAGGAGGAAGAAGAGGCCTGCTCAGATGAGGAGGAGAAGGAAGAGTTCTACACAGCTGAGGAGGAGAAGGAAGAGGTCTACACAGCTGAGGAGCAAGTAGAACAGGCTCAGGTGGCAAAACCATCTGGTCAAAACACTGAATCTGTTCTGTGGGACCCACTGATTTGCCAAATCATTGTGAAGATGTTCTTACGCAAAGTCATGAAAAATTTCTTCCCCGATCAGACCTACAAATCAGCTGAAGCCAGACTGACAGACATGCTGTATGAAAAGATGAGTGGTACTTCTGTTCATGTGGATTTGAGCCTGAAAAGCATCAAAAAGAAATGCAAAGCTGTGTACAAAGAAGTGCTCAAAAATGTTGATGCTTCAGTTCTTTGGTTAAATCTCTTGGAAGAGGATCAACCACTCCTTGAGGCTGTGGCTGAGGCTCTAATGAAGCATTTTTCATCAGAAAGACCCAGCTCCATCCAAAAGTTCTTCAGATGTCTTCTCCGGACTTTCACTTCAGCTTGGACCCCCTGGGCTTCCCGCCTAACTGCAGCTTGTCGCGCATGAAGTCCTAGATGGATATGAGGACAGACTTCAGGCCCATACATGGCCACCAGCGAATGGGTTTACTCCGAGTGCTTCGGTTTCTCCCAACACAAGACTAAAAACCTTGAAAAAAAATAAAAATAAAATAAAATAGCAGAGTGGCGCAGTGGAAGCGTGCTGGGCCTAAAACCCAGAGGTCGATGGATCGAAACCATCCTCTGCTAACCATGCTGGAAATGTGCAGCTGCTCCGTTCATGTCTCCCACAGGTGACGTTTCTTCTTCATCAGAATTGGCCATTTTTAATCAAAAGATAATGACACAAAAATCATTGGGACATACCTGCATGTCCTGGATCCTAGGGTTGACAAATAACTTAAGGATCCAGGACATGCAGGTATGTCCAAATGATTCTCCCATGAAGCTAAGATCATATTCTGGATGTAGGTGCAAACAGAAATGAAATGTGATGGAAAACTGAGCACAAATAAGCTATTCTAGCCATTTTTCATATCAATATGGGATAACATACAAATGAAAACACTCAAAAAAAGCATTTTGCACTATGAGGAAGTAATATTTTACACAGGCAGGCAAGTGGGGCTGACTCCAGATTAGTGCTGGACGATAATTCGATAATAATATATATCGATCGATAGACGTGTGGTGCGATAGAAAAAAAACGGGTCGATAAAAAGTTCGATAGAAAAACACAGTTTCCCTTTCTTTTTCATCATAGCCTATCATGTAGCTTTTACTACAGTCATTACTTCCTCCCAACCAATCACAAACGCAGACCCAGGTACGCTACGGCACCAAGCCCAGCCCCTATCAAACCACAACAGACAGCACGTGTATTAGAAAAAATGATACAGCAAGGAGAAGCGGAGGACATTGTCCCGAAAAAAGGTTTCAGTAGTTCACCAGCATGGCAATGTTTTGGTTTTTAGAAGTCTGACAAAAAGCGAACAGCGGTCGTTTGCAAAATTTGCAGAGAATTAGTAAAAACCAAGTCTGGTAACACAACCAACTTGTTTTACCATCTAAACCGGTCGCACCCGCAGGAGTACGAGCTGTGTCGGCCGCGCCGCGGCTCCACGTCGTCGTCGGAGGAATCCTCTGGAACCGCTGCCAGCACCAGCACTAAGCATGTGAAGCAGACCAAACTGGACTTCGTTTCTTGCCAAAACTACGACAAAGCGTCCGAGCGGCATAAGGACATCACCCATGCAGTAACATGCTTCATAGTGAGGGACATACTGCCAATAACTACCGTTGAAAAGCCTGGCTTCAAACAGCTTCTAGCCACTCTCGACCCGCGATATGAAGTGCCCGGCCGCAAGTATTTCTCAAACACAGCGCTTCAGGCATGAAAATGGGTCAGGGGTTGAAAAGCTGAGAAGGGTGCGGAGGAAATACGTTCCGGTGTTGTGCCGTAGAATGCACCCCTGCATCCCGTCCACTCATTAGCTTCTTAAAGTGGAAGAACATGAGCTGATATTTTACAAAGACGCGAGTATTTGGATCATGGCTACTAGCAGGGGGTGCATTCGGCAGGGATGCATTCTACGACACAACACCGGCGTGGATAAGTCCTGCTTCTCGTGCTTAGTTTGTGTATTAAGTCAATCACATGATAATTAAAAAAGATAAATCTCCCGACCCCGGGAGAAATATTTCAGTGTTCAGACACCAGGCTGTGGGCAGTTTTCCACACAGTTAAAACTGGTAGTATGCTATTCCCACCTAAAGCTATTCTGTTTATTTATATATTTGTTTGTTTTGTTTATTTTCATCAAAAGACTATTTAAATATTTATTTATCAGATTTTCTGGTCACTTTAGTCTTTATGTTTGTCAGTATTTACTGACGTCACTCAGGCCACTTAAGTTGATTTCTTTTTTTTTAAAGTTCTTTTTTAAAAAACTTTCAGTTGTGGTAAAAAAAAAAAAAAGGTGGTTGAATAAAGGTTTGAATTTGAATTCAGTGCTTGTGTGTTCTTTTTTTAAAGTAGGTCATTAAGCAATAGCATAAAACATCCAGGGCTGCAATTAAAATATATGTTAAATAATTATAATAATTATATCGATAATAATCGATATCGATCAATATGATTTATTTTTTATCGATATGCTTTTTTTCTATATCGTCCAGGCCTACTCCAGATGAGGTCAGGACTGTATAATGTGCCAAATATGGCGATTTTCCACCTAACGAACCACACGTTTTGACTGATTACTCAAAAAGTGATGGAATGCCCATCCTGAAACTTGCAGGGATGCTAGTGGACATGATCGTCTTTCTTTACTGTGAATATGAAGAAAATTGAAGGACGCATGTTTTTTGCTATTTCCAATTTAAGGTTTTGGTCTTTTATAATTTTTTTTTTACACCTCTGTTAACATCAGCATAAAGAGTCATTATTGACATGATTTCAACCCGTTTGACCCTGAATTCAAATCATCACCGACCTTCAGGAGGACTTGGAGACTCCTGGTTAAGAACTCAGCAGGATCCGCTGGTTAACTTTAATTAGATGATACGTGAGAGGTTCAGATTAATGAATGAACGAATGAACCCTTAATCAATCACTTATCAATCACTGACGGCGCTCCTTTGCAGCTTATTAACACGTATTGATGAACATCTATAAATGGATTATTGACTGTTGAACCTCAGTTTGGAGCCTCACATATGAGATGTTCCCAAAAAGTCGTTTTATCATTTAAAGAAGATCTCCAGAGTGCGCCGGTTTCTCTCTCTCGAGCCGACGCAGAGACTCTTCTTCATGTAGAATCCACTATCTCCATGCTCTCCTCTCTGGTCTTCATAAAAACATCTCACAGCTTCAGCTCCAACAAAGTTCAGCTGCACACATGCTGACGAATGTCAGTTTTGGTTTGTTGGCTTGTAGAGGTTGAAGATGAGATTGTTTTGTTTCACCTGGAGATAAAGAGCAAATGTCTTCAACAGCACTGTGGGAAAGGGGCAGGATTAAAAAGAAGAATATCTCAACTCTCAGCCACTGAATCTACACAAAAACTGTAGGACCCTATGTGAAACTGAGCCTTCTGTATGGTTCAAAGTTTGCATAGTTAAAGCTTGGCATGACTTTACGTGCCACAGACACTGCTGTCAAAATTAAATAATATCAAAAGCTGTGATCATAGTTAACATTTAATCACTTCGGAGAACAACTTGTAGTCAAATGTGTGGACAAGTTTCAACATCAGATTTGTCATTTTTGCGCTGCTTCTATTAAAATATAGGGTTAAAATGATGTTATTTTTTAAATCAACATTTTACACAGTCTCCCACATTTTTTGAAATTGGAAATGTAAATGTAATAGTTGCAGTGACGTGTGGTGAGGTTCATAGCTGGTGAGGCACTGACGTCATCAGAATCAGATTTGCAAATAGATGCATAGATTGACAGCAGTTTACAGGTTATGTTTCACTTCTGCATCCTTACACATACAAACTGTAGCTCACAAAACACACATTTCCTTAAAAAACAAAACAAAATAAATGTTATTACTGTCTTACCTTTACGTATAAATGAAGTCCATGCGTCGCTCCTTCTGCACAAAAACATCCGTCACTTTGCGATAGAAGTCCTCCTTATCTTCCTTCAGTTTTAAAAGTCTCTCTGTCTCAATGGAGATCACTGCCAGGGAAGAAAGCCTTCCTTGATCTGTCCTGTTCCTGCTGTATGTTTTCAGTCTCTTCAGGGCTGAGAATGACCGCTCCACTGACGCTGTAGTAGCTGGCACCGTGAGCACGAGCTGGAGCAACTTTGTCGCCTCAGGAACAGTTACAACAAGATCCTTCTCGGCCAAAAAGTTGAGAAGCTGTCCAGGAGATTTGCATTCATCCCTCACCGTTTTTGAGCTATACAGTCCAATGAGATCGGCCTTCAGTCTGACAAAGTCAAAAAACTTGGCATACTTTGACAGGCTCTGCAGTTTCGTGTCATCAAAATGTTGTGACATTTCATAGAACTTTGCGCAATCCACCAAACCGAGGAAAGCAAGTTCATCAAAATGGCCAAACCTAGCCTTCATTTGATCGCTGATGTTGTCAAGAATGTTACAGAACAGGTGTCTCCGTTCATCTCTAGCCGAATGTCTGTCTGTACCATCTGTCAACCCAAGTGCGCCGCATTTCTGCTCGAATCGGAGGTAGTAACTGTCAAACTCCAGTCTCATGCGCTCCATGACTGAAACTGTGTCCCGGATGCGCGCAACACAGTATTCAATGTCCGTCACTTTGTTTTGCAGCACTCTGAAAAGTGCGTCGGTCTCATTGAAAATGCCATCAAATGTATCGATAAGAAAGCATGTAGATGCTTTTGACAGCCACCGATCATATCCTGCTGCCATCATCAGCGTGTCATTATCCCAGCTATCGGGATTTTCCATAATGACATTGAACACAGCACGCAGATCGTTTTGGTGCATGCTTATTGTCTGCAGCAGCCGAGAATTTGAATTCCACCTTGTCGGCGCTGCTCTGGGTAAACGGCGCTTGACAACATCATCCAACAAACGAGTGCGCTTTGTGGACTTGCTGAAAAACGCCCCGAGTCCCTCAGCTGTTTTAAAAAACGCACGACACTTGGGCATGCACTTTGCTGAATGCAATAGCACCAGGTTCAGCTTGTGTGCGTAACAGTGTGTAAACATGGCCTCAGGCACCTTTTCCTTAATTTTAGCCTGCACCCCATTAAGCTCTGATGCCATTACAGCTGCCCCATCATATGTCTGAGCTACAAGCTTATCAACACAGCCGTATTTCTCCAGCACACTCAGGACATACTCAGCTATGGCAGGTGCACGTCTGTCCGCACTCACATCATCGAACCCCAAAAACGCCTCCTTCACCTTACAGCCTGCTTCAGGTTGAGTCACATAGCGCAATATGACGGAGATCTGAGCTTTGCTTGTGACATCTGTGGTCTCGTCGACTTCTACAGCTACAAATGGGGCTGCACTTATGTCCTGCTTAATATCATTTCTAATGACATCGCCGACTGCTTCAATTAATTCATTCTGTATTCTATTGGACAAGCCGGAAAATACAGTGGATGTCTCCAAATGTCTAGCTAGTCTGTCATCTTTCTCAGCAAGGACATGCAAGAGTTCAACATAGTTGCCACGATTAGCAGAGCCCATGCTCTCATCATTTCCACGAAATGCTAGCTGCTGTCTAGCGAGAAAGCAGGTCGCATTGATGAGATCTTTTAAAATCTCTCGGTTCTCCTTTACCTTAGCATTGTGGATGCTGATGTTGAGTCTCCGCTGTTCATCCAAAGCCAAATCTATCCTGGACAGGCCGAAGGTTTTTAGCGCAATTTGGCTTTGAATATGAGTGGTGGACCGCTCATATTTGGTGAGGGATCTTTGCAAGTTCTTCAAGTCACCAAATCCCATCTGAGTCCACACAGTGCCACAAGTTGAAAAAAGAAGGCAAGGAAAGCAGAAAAGGCGGTTTCGAGCAGGACATCCACAAAGCCAGTCTTTTCGTGAATACCACTCGGTTTGAAAAGAGCGGTTAACCTTCTGTCCCGTAGTCTGAAACAAACCTTTCAGCTCCGGCGTTGGTCTTCCTTTGGTTATTATCTCCTGCTTCGATTGAAAGTCCACTTGAGAAAACTTTTTTAGTGTTGTAATGTAGTCATCCATGTCGAAAGTCGGGATAAGCGAGAGGAAAAAAATCACTCTCTATTATAATCTATCGCTGCACTTGACTTGCTTCCCGAATCGTTTAGCCTAGCTCGCTGTCACTTACTCGGCAGTTGAGGAGTGAACAAGACGAACGTCTGGGATCTTGAGCACCCCCTGCCATGAGGCAAGAGAACTGCCTGCCTCACCTCGAACCTGTTCTCTGCCGTTTATAATCGCTCATTACACGAAACACGTTACACAAACACAGTTGGTGACAAAAAGCACTGTACATTATATACATAAGCTAAATTATTGGAAATAAGTTCACATATTAAATTTGTTTAAACCATTTTATTGACGCCGTACAGCAACATGCTCTCTCCGCTTAGCAGCCAGTGCAGAGCCAGGGGTTGCGCAATCCAAGGTGAGGCAGAGCTCGCTGCTGCCTCACCGGCATCGCTTCCAAGCATTTGAATGGGAAAATAAGAAAATTCAGCGATTTTGAACAAATAAAAATCGAAATTGGTGAAGCTACAGGAAAAATAAATATTTTTTAGTACAAACCACCGGATGAATATAACAATTTAAATTACTTTATGATTATATATTTTCTTTCTTTCCATGATGGCAGGTGAGGCACTGCCTCACCTGCCTCCCCTGACCGCACGTCACTGAATAGTTGTGTCACTTAATGTCATGCAAAATATAAAAATATGAAACTATATGGGGAAAAAAAAAACGATTCCCTGTCATTATTGAGCAGTTTTTTTGTTTGTTTTTTTATTTATCTATTTATTTATTGTGACAGTTTGTTAAATAAAGGACCTATTTTAAGTTTTAGGGTGTGGCAGAATTTAGTTGTGATCCGTTGCCATAGCAACGTGGAATTCCAGGAGGAAGCCTCAGTGACATCAGCTATGACATCACAGTGATGACATCAGAGCTATGAAAAGCTTTGATGTCATCACAGTGATGTCATCAGAGCTTTGAGGACTTGAGGTCAAAGGCATTCAAAGGCAGCATGAGAGCGAGTGTTTAACTGCACCGAGGTGAAGAAAGACCAAATTGGACTTTGCTTTAAGATCATCGCTTAAAGAGACGCAATCATTTTAAAACAGCTAACAAACACAAACGCAGGTATGAGTCTCATCAGCACACCAGAGAGGATGGAACTGAATTTTTATCTGGCCTCCAAAGAGACTCTTAGGCCAGTCGTCCGTGCGTTCATGAACCAGCTGACGGCAGAAAACTGGCAGAGACTGGAGACTGGGCGTCTTGACCCAGAGACAAGTACTCGCGTGACAGCTTTGTGTGTAAATGTTATTGAAATTTTGGCTCAAAGTCTGCATGAGTCTCTCAACAGAAGACTTGAAAAACAGAAAGACTGGTCACCAGGATCTGCTAAATCTGTGTGTAAGGAGGACGTGCGCGAATGTTTAGGGAACATGGGTGAAGTCATCGCACAGACTGTGGCAGAGGTACAGGGTGTAGGAGACATCCACTACCCTAAGAGCGGGCGGGTGACAGAGCTCATGGTCACAGCAGTCACAGAGAGAGTCAACTCCAGGCTGTCTAAAACAAGTGACAGTGACGACTCGGAGGAGCACAAGACTTCCCCCACTATTCTAATCAAACTGAGGGGACACTTCAAGAGGATTCTCAAAAACTGCTACGAAAGGATGAAGACAATGTTGCACCGAGTCAAATCAACCTGCACTGTGCAGGAGAAGGAAGAGGTGGTGGTACCCACTCAGACCTCTGTAACTTCTCTGCAAGAAGAGAAACCAGGCAGGGCCGAGTCTACGGTCAACAAATCCCCGACTATTTTTCATGTGACCAAAGAAATCCTGGAGCAACAACTGGAAGAGATTGTTCATGATGCTCAGAGTTACTCCACAGAGGAAGAAGATAGCCTGCTTCTTTCTCAAACCAGCAAGGACTACGAGTTATCAGAGTTATCATCTCAGATTGTTGAAAATTTTACAGAGGATGTTCCACAGGACCTGGCTGGATGTCACACAGAAGATCTCTTAGGATACCGCAGGAGAAAAGTCATCAGGCAGATGAGGACTGTCTTTGTCCAAACATTTGCTCGAGGGTCAATCCTGAGCATGATGTCTAAATTCAGACGCAAGCCGGCCTCCCGTAAAGAACAGGAAGCTGTGAAATTAGTCAATTCACAGCTGATTAAGAGTGTGGATGATCTTTTAACAGAGTTCATTACAACAAACAATCAGGTACCAAGTCGTGGGTCATTAGAGGATTGCCCCTTTGAGAAATTAGCCAGCATCTTTTCCGGTGACGAGCTGGAAAGTTTTGCTGAAAAGCTGAGTGACACATTGGCCAGTCACTTGACACCACCAAAAGTCCAAGAAAAAACACACCGAGAAGAGATTCGTGCTGGAGTAGACAAGATCCTTAAAGAGACGAGGAAGTGGCTAAAGAAGCAGAGCCGACTGCGCAAGATTAGGAAGGACTGTGTGAGCATGACTCTCAAGAAGTTCAGGAGATTTGTGCAGAATAACCAGTCAGATCTCAGTCCCCCCAAAACTGGAGCTGAGGATCAGACCTGCCCCACACCTGTGCGAGAGGAGGTTCAAAGCTTCACAGCTGAGGAGGAGGAAGAAGAGGCCTGCTCAGATGAGGAGGAGGAAGAAGAGGCCTGCTCAGATGAGGAGGAGAAGGAAGAGGTCTACACAGCTGAGGAGCAAGTAGAACAGGCTCAGGTGGCAAAACCATCTGGTCAAAACACTGAATCTGTTCTAAAGAAGTGGGACCCACTGATTTGCCAAATCATTGTGAAGATGTTCTTACGCAAAGTCATGAAAAATTTCTTCCCCGATCAGACCTACAAATCAGCTGAAGCCAGACTGACAGACATGCTGTATGAAAAGATGAGTGGTACTTCTGTTAATGTGGATTTGAGCCTGAAAAGCATCAAAAAGAAATGCAAAGCTGTGTACAAAGAAGTGCTCAAAAATGTTGATGCTTCAGTTCTTTGGTTAAATCTCTTGGAAGAGGATCAACCACTCCTTGAGGCTGTGGCTGAGGCTCTAATGAAGCATTTTTCATCAGAAAGACCCAGCTCCATCCAAAAGTTCTTCAGATGTCTTCTCCGGACTTTCACTTCAGCTTGGACCCCCTGGGCTTCCCGCCTAACTGCAGCTTGTCGCGCATGAAGTCCTAGATGGATATGAGGACAGACTTCAGGCCCATACATGGCCACCAGCGAATGGGTTTACTCCGAGTGCTTCGGTTTCTCCCAACACAAGACTAAAAACCTTGAAAAAAAATAAAATAAAATAAAATAGCAGAGTGGCGCAGTGGAAGCGTGCTGGGCCTAAAACCCAGAGGTCGATGGATCGAAACCATCCTCTGCTAACCATGCTGGAAATGTGCAGCCGCTCCGTTCATGTCTCCCACAGGTGACGTTTCTTCTTCATCAGAATTGGCCATTTTTAATCAAAAGATAATGACACAAAAATCATTGGGACATACCTGCATGTCCTGGATCCTAGGGTTGACAAATAACTTAAGGATCCAGGACATGCAGGTATGTCCAAATGATTCTCCCATGAAGCTAAGATCATATTCTGGATGTAGGTGCAAACAGAAATGAAATGTGATGGAAAACTGAGCACAAATAAGCTATTCTAGCCATTTTTCATATCAATATGGGATAACATACAAATGAAAACACTCAAAAAAAGCTTTTTGCACTATGAGGAAGTCATATTTTACACAGGCAGGCAAGTGGGGCTGACTCCAGATTAGTGCTGGACGATAATTCGATAACAATATATATCGATCGATAGACGTGTGGTGCGATAGAAAAAAACGGGTCGATAAAAAGTTCGATAGAAAAACACAGTTTCCCTTTCTTTTTCATCATAGCCTATCATGTAGCTTTTACTACAGTCATTACTTCCTCCCAACCAATCACAAACGCAGACCCAGGTACGCTACGGCACCAAGCCCAGCCCCTCTCAAACCACAACAGACAGCACGTGTATTAGAAAAAATGTTACAGCAAGGAGAAGCGGAGGACATTGTCCCGAAAAAAGGTTTCAGTAGTTCACCAGCATGGCAATGTTTTGGTTTTTACAAGTCTGACAAAAAGCGAACAGCGGTCGTTTGCAAAATTTGCAGAGAATTAGTAAAAACCAAGTCTGGTAACACAACCAACTTGTTTTACCATCTAAACCGATCGCACCCGCAGGAGTACGAGCTGTGTCGGCCGCGCCGCGGCTCCACGTCATCGTCGGAGGAGGAATCCTCTGGAACCGCTGCCAGCACCAGCACAAAGCATGTGAAGCAGACCAAACTGGACTTCGTTTCTTGCCAAAACTACGACAAAGCGTCCGAGCGGCATAAGGACATCACCCATGCAGTAACATGCTCCATAGCGAGGGACATACTGCCAATAACTACCGTTGAAAAGCCTGGCTTCGACCAGCTTCTAGCCACTCTCGACCCGCGATATGAAGTGCCCGGCCGCAAGTATTTCTCAAACACAGCGCTTCAGGCATGAAAATGGGTCAGGGGTTGAAAAGGTGAGAAGGGTGCGGAGGAAATACGTTCCGGTGTTTGCCGTAGAATGCACCCCTGCATCCCGTCCACTCATTAGCTTCTTAAAGTGGAAGAAAATGAGCTCATATTTTACAAAGACGCGAGTATTTGGATCATGGCTACTAGCAGGGGGTGCATTCGGCAGGGATGCATTCTACGACACAACACCGGTGTGGATAAGTCCTGCTTCTCGTGCTTAGTTTGTGTATTAAGTCAATCACATGATAATTAAAAAAGATAAATCTCCCGACCCCGGGAGAAATATTTCAGTGTTCAGACACCAGGCTGTGGGCAGTTTCCCACACAGTTAAAACTGGTAGTATGCTATTCCCACCTAAAGCTATTCTGTTTATTTATATATTTGTTTGTTTTGTTTATTTTCATCAAAAGACTATTTAAGTATTTATTTATCAGATTTTCTGGTCACTTTAGTCTTTATGTTTGTCAGTATTTACTGACGTCACTCAGGCCACTTAAGTTGATTTCTTTTTTTTTAAATTTCTTTTTTAAAAAACTTTCAGTTGTGGTAAAAAAAAAAAAAAAGGTGGTTGAATAAAGGTTGGAATTTGAATTCAGTGCTTGTGTTCTTTTTTTAAAGTAGGTCATTAAGCAATAGCATAAAACATCCAGGGCTGCAATTAAAATATATGTTAAATAATTATAATAATTATATCGATAATAATCGATATCGATCAATATGATTTATTTTTTATCGATATGCTTTTTTTCTATATCGTCCAGGCCTACTCCAGATGAGGTCAGGACTGTATAATGTGTCAAATATGGCGATTTTCCACCTAACGAACCACACGTTTTGACTGATTACTCAAAAAGTGATGGAATGCCCATCCTGAAACTTGCAGGGATGCTAGTGGACATGATCGTCTTTCTTTAGTGTGAATATGAAGAAAATTGAAGGACGCATGTTTTTTGCTATTTCCAATTTAAGGTTTTGGTCTTTTATAATTTTTTTTTACACCTCTGTTAACATCAGCATAAAGAGTCATTATTGACATGATTTCAACCCGTTTGACCCTGAATTCAAATCATCACCGACCTTCAGGAGGACTTGGAGACTCCTGGTTAAGAACTCAGCAGGATCCGCTCGTTAACTTTAATTAGATGATACGTGAGAGGTTCAGATTAATGAATGAACGAATCAACCCTTAATCAATCACTTATCAATCACTGACGGCGCTCCTTTGCAGCTTATTAACATGTATTGATGAACATCTATAAATGGATTATTGACTGTTGAACCTCAGTTTGGAGCCTCACATACGAGATGTTCCCAAAAAGTCGTTTTATCATTTAAAGAAGATCTCCAGAGTGCGCCGGTTTCTCTCTCTCGAGCCGACGCAGAGACTCTTCTTCATGTAGAATCCACTATCTCCATGCTCTCCTCTCTGGTCTTCATAAAAACATCTCACAGCTTCAGCTCCAACAAAGTTCAGCTGCACACATGCTGACGAATGTCAGTTTTGGTTTGTTGGCTTGTAGAGGTTGAAGATGAGATTGTTTTGTTTCACCTGGAGATAAAGAGCAAATGTCTTCAACAGCACTGTGGGAAAGGGGCAGGATTAAAAAGAAGAATATCTCAACTCTCAGCCACTGAATCTACACAAAAACTGTAGGACCCTATGTGAAACTGAGCCTTCTGTATGGTTCAAAGTTTGCATAGTTAAAGCTTGGCATGACTTTACGTGCCACAGACACTGCTGTCAAAATTAAATAATATCAAAAGCTGTGATCATAGTTAACATTTAATCACTTCGGAGAACAACTTGTAGTCAAATGTGTGGACAAGTTTCAACATCAGATTTGTCATTTTTGCGCTGCTTCTATTAAAATATAGGGTTAAAATGATGTTATTTTTTAAATCAACATTTTACACAGTCTCCCACATTTTTTGAAATTGGAAATGTAAATGTAATAGTTGCAGTGACGTGTGGTGAGGTTCATAGCTGGTGAGGCACTGACGTCATCAGAATCAGATTTGCAAATAGATGCATAGATTGACAGCAGTTTACAGGTTATGTTTCACTTCTGCATCCTTACACATACAAACTGTAGCTCACAAAACACACATTTCCTTAAAAAACAAAACAAAATAAATGTTATTACTGTCTTACCTTTACGTATAAATGAAGTCCATGCGTCGCTCCTTCTGCACAAAAACATCCGTCACTTTGCGATAGAAGTCCTCCTTATCTTCCTTCAGTTTTAAAAGTCTCTCTGTCTCAATGGAGATCACTGCCAGGGAAGAAAGCCTTCCTTGATCCGTCCTGTTCCTGCTGTATGTTTTCAGTCTCTTCAGGGCTGAGAATGACCGCTCCACTGACGCTGTAGTAGCTGGCACCGTGAGCACGAGCTGGAGCAACTTTGTCGCCTCAGGAACAGTTACAACAAGATCCTTCTCGGCCAAAAAGTTGAGAAGCTGTCCAGGAGATTTGCATTCATCCCTCACCGTTTTTGAGCTATACAGTCCAATGAGATCGGCCTTCAGTCTGACAAAGTCAAAAAACTTGGCATACTTTGACAGGCTCTGCAGTTTCGTGTCATCAAAATGTTGTGACATTTCATAGAACTTTGCGCAATCCACCAAACCGAGGAAAGCAAGTTCATCAAAATGGCCAAACCTAGCCTTCATTTGATCGCTGATGTTGTCAAGAATGTTACAGAACAGGTGTCTCCGTTCATCTCTAGCCGAATGTCTGTCTGTACCATCTGTCAAACCAAGTGCGCCGCATTTCTGCTCGAATCGGAGGTAGTAACTGTCAAACTCCAGTCTCATGCGCTCCATGACTGAAACTGTGTCCCGGATGCGCGCAACACAGTATTCAATGTCCGTCACTTTGTTTTGCAGCACTCTGAAAAGTGCGTCGGTCTCATTGAAAATGCCATCAAATGTATCGATAAGAAAGTATGTAGATGCTTTTGACAGCCACCGATCATATCCTGCTGCCATCATCAGCGTGTCATTATCCCAGCTATCGGGATTTTCCATAATGACATTGAACACAGCACGCAGATCGTTTTGGTGCATGCTTATTGTCTGCAGCAGCCGAGAATTTGAATTCCACCTTGTCGGCGCTGCTCTGGGTAAACGGCGCTTGACAACATCATCCAACAAACGAGTGCGCTTTGTGGACTTGCTGAAAAACGCCCCGAGTCCCTCAGCTGTTTTAAAAAACGCACGACACTTGGGCATGCACTTTGCTGAATGCAATAGCACCAGGTTCAGCTTGTGTGCGTAACAGTGTGTAAACATGGCCTCAGGCACCTTTTCCTTAATTTTAGCCTGCACCCCATTAAGCTCTGATGCCATTACAGCTGCCCCATCATATGTCTGAGCTACAAGCTTATCAACACAGCCGTATTTCTCCAGCACACTCAGGACATACTCAGCTATGGCAGGTGCACGTCTGTCCGCACTCACATCATCGAACCCCAAAAACGCCTCCTTCACCTTACAGCCTGCTTCAGGTCGAGTCACATAGCGCAATATGACGGAGATCTGAGCTTTGCTTGTGACATCTGTGGTCTCGTCGACTTCTACAGCTACAAATGGGGCTGCACTTATGTCCTGCTTAATATCATTTCTAATGAC